TGTGTGTGTGTGTGTGTGTGTGTGTGTGTGTGTGTGTGTGTGTTGTGACAGCTTAATTCAGGTTATGGATATGAAGTATGAAGTATGCACCCGTGCAGGCACAATTACTCTTCGTGTCTCTCTGCCAGCTGACAGTGAGAAGAGTAGATAATTGTTTCAGAGTTTGCGAGAGCCCAAGATGCACGCAGTGCCTAAGTGTCTCATTCAAAAAACCCGCTGTGAACAAAAACTGCCCCAAGGAATCTGTGTGTGCAGAGACCGATTGGCTGAGTACAGTTGCAGTACCACGGAGAGATTAGAACGTTACAGGTGCAGGTCGAGAGGCTAATTACCTTGCCTTGGGCTACATTCTGGCCTTCTAGAACAGCCCCACTGTGTCGGATATAACGTCTTGAAACAATAGAGGTAAGCCTTTTTGTACTCTATTCGCTTAGCAAACCACGAACTTCTCCCAGTTGTCCTCAGATAGCACCTTGTGTCTATAGAATAGCTCCGAACATATTGCTGTATCCGCTTCTGTGATGTATCCAACCAACGTATTTTAAACTTGCCTTGATTTATGACTGTCTTTGTTCATTAAACTATAAAAAGTTCATGAAACTACTTTCCATGCTTTGCAACATGGAATTTGGGGGTAATGAAAAATCTGTGTTTTCAGGCCACGGTCACTCAAAATGATTCCAGAATAAAACTCTCTTACACCTTTTAAGATGAGAGCTGTGTGTTTTTTTAAGTTAATAATTATGGCACCGCAATATGGACTGTCGAGAATTATCCACTCAGGAATCGGCTGAGTGGAAGGCAGGTGCCTGCATAGACCCACTGAATCCAGGCCAACTGCTGTTATTTCCTCAGTGGATTGTTGATGAGTTCTTTCCGGACTCTGGGCCTCCCTTGGTTTGGTAAGTGGTCCGTTTTGTTTATTGTGAGCTGGTTAAAAAGAATCCTACTTTGATAAATACCTTTTGCTCTGCTTTCAAAGAAATTTTTAAAAAGTATCTAATTTGTTTCTTTGCTTTGATAGCGTTTTGGTGCAGGCATTTTGATTTGGTTTGGTTTGGTGTGTTTGCTTGCTTTGGATCCCTAAAGGCATTTGGTATTTTGTTTGCTTTTGGAACTTTGAAAGCATATTGGCTTTTCTCTTGTTTCTCTTGATTCTCCCCGTTTTTGAAATGTTTTGATTTATTATCACTTGGCCTTTGTCTCTTGATGTTCTTCCTCAAATTCGTAATTCTGTGTGTTCAGCTGCTTCTCCTGTCACCTTGCCAAGCCTTTAGCTTAGGAATTTTATGAGTATCTGATGATGAAGATGCTAAAGACAAGAAACTCTTGTTTCCTTCCCAAAGTTTGGGGAATTCAGGGGTAAAACTCCATGAGTGCGATGGACTCATAGGGAAAACCAACATGTACTGTGGCTTTTGTATGGACACAACCAACCAGCTTTGCAGACTTTCATAGAAAAGGCAAGTTGTCCCCTGATCTCTTCTGAAAAAGCAAGCCATGAGTTACCTTCTAGGAATCATCCAATGCTCACCTGATTTCTAGCAAGTGAAGTTAAAATGAACACTGAAGATATATGCTATCATAGTAAAATGTTCACTTGGTACTATATAAGTGAATTCATTTGCAGTGGTTTACAGCTAATTTATAAATGCTGCTTTGAACATAAAGAAAGTATTAGAGGAACCATATCTGGCCTTGGGTATAAATTGTAAATTAATTAAAATCTTTAATGTTAATTTATTCTATGTGTCTAGCTTAATACAAGCCAACTAAATATGTGATATTTGACACTTTACATTACTATGACTTTCATTTAGCAGGATGTTGGTGATAATATCCTGAGCCCTCCACAAACCCAAAAATATCTAAAATCTAATAAGTGTGTCCCAGTTAAACTATGCCCTAGGTGATGTCTTTCTCCTTTTTTCTGTCTCCCTTCCTTCCCTTTTTCTTTCTTTTTCTTTTTTATTTCTTTTTTGTTTTCTGTTTCCTCCTGTCTCCCCTTCCCTCCTACCCTCCTTCCTTCCCTCCGTCCTTCCCTCTTTCCCCACCCCTCTCTCTTTCAGACAGGATTTCTCTATATAACCGTGGCTGTCCAGGAATTCACTATATAGACCAGACTGACCTAGAACTCAAAGATCCAGCTGTCCCTTCCTTCTCCTAAGTGTTAGGAGAAGGGTGCACCACCACCCTTTGCATATCCTGAGTAAATTTTAGAAATTAGACAACTTACATAACAAATAAGATTTTGAGAGCACAAACCAGAGGCTGGAGAGACTGATGAGTGGTTTAGAGCCTAAATTACTCTTGCAGAGGACCTGGGTTCGGTTTCCAGCTGTCGTTGGCTTACTGATACCTGTAACTCCAGCTCCAGGGAAACCAATACCCCCTTTTACCATCCTTGGGGGTACCTGGACTTATGTGTAAATACCACACTAAACACACACATATTTTAATTTTTTATTAATTACACTTTTTTCACTTTGTATCCCACTTGGGGTTCCCTCCCGCTGCCCATCCCAATCTCTCCCTTTCTCCCCCCTCTGCACGCATGTCCCTCCCCAAGTCCACTGATAGGGGAGGTCTTCTTTTCCTTCCTTCTGTTCCTAGTCTATTAGGTCTCATCAGGAGTGGCTGCATTGTCTTCTTCTGTGGCCTGGTAAGGCTGCCCCCCCCTCAGGGGGAGGTGAATAAAGAGCAGGCCAATCAGTTCATGTCAGAGAGAGTTCCTGGTCCTATTACTATGGAACCCACTTGGACACTGAATTGCCATGGGCTACATCTGTACAGGGGTCCTAGGTTATCTCCATGCATGGTCCTTGGTTAGAGTATCAGGCTCAGGGAAGACCCCTGTGTTCAGATCTTTTGGTTTTGTTGCTCTCCTGGATTTCCTGTCCTCTCCAGATCTTACTGTTTCCCTCTTCTTTCATAAGATTCCCTGCACTCAGCCCAAAGGTTGGTCATAAGTCTCAGCATCTGCTTAGATGGTCTGCAGGGCAGAGCCTTTCAGAGGTCCTCTGTGGCAGGCTCCTGTCCTGTTCCCTGTTTTCTCCTTCTTCTGATATCCAATCTCTTTGCCTTTCTGGATAGGGATTGAGCATTTTAGCAAGAGTCCTCCGTTTTGACTAGTTTCTTTAGGTGTATAGATTTTAGTAGGTTTATCCTACATTATATGTCTATATGAGTAAGTATATACTGTGTGTGTCTTTCTGCCTCTGGGATAGCTCACTCAGGATGATCTTTTCCAGATCCCACCATTTACCTGCAAATTTCATGATTTCCTTGTTTTTAATTGCTGAGTAGGGTATCCATTGGGTAGATGTACCACAATTTCTGTATCCATTCCTTCGTTGTGGGACATCTGGGTTGTTTCCAGCTTCTGGCTATTACAAATAAAGCTGCTACAAACATGGTTGAGCTAATGTCCTTATTGTGTACCTGAGCCTCTTTTGGATACATGCCTAGGAGTGGTATAGCTGGATCTTGAGGAAGCACTATTCCTAATTGTCTGAGAAAGCGCCAGATTGATTTCCAGAGTGGTTGTGAAAGACCCCCAGGGGGTATCTTTCGTCTGAGAGACCCCCTCCCAAAGATCAGCGCGTCCAGGCTTTCGGATGCAAATAGCAAGAGGCTTTATTGGATACACAGGCACCCGGGCGGAAAGTCACTGCCTTTCCGGGCAGCAAGCTGGGTTTTTTATAGAGTTTGAGCAGAAGCACTGATACAGAAGCAAAGCGAGAGGAAACCATAACATGAATCAAGTTGGCAGGGACATCAGAATTCCAGGAACTGGGTGGCCATAACAATTATGACGGCCTTGACTAGTGCCGCCATATGTTGCTTTTCCCAGGACTCTTATCTCAGCCGGACCACCTGTCAGATATCCCATGAGGGTGGTCAGGACAAAGTTGTTTTGTTTTTGGCTCAGCTAGGGCAGCCTTGACCGCAGAAATCTTGAGGGGAGTGACTGACTTAGCTGCTGGATTTTCTCAGAGTAATTTTTAGTTCCCATCCGGCCTTTACTATTTTTCCCAGAACTGTGGTACACTGCAAAATGGCATTAGCTATGTCTAACTCTGTTTAACTCAGGGGGATATGGGGTCTTTCAGTTGTACAAGTTTACATTCCCACCAGCAATGGAGGAGGGTTCCCCTTTCTCCACATCCTCTCCAGCATGTGTTGTCACTTGAGTTTTTGATTTTAGCCATTCTGATATGTGTAAGGTGAAATCTCAGGGTTGTTTTGATTTGCATCTCCCTGATGACTAATGACGTTGAACATTTCTTTAAGTGTTTTTTGGCAATTCAATATTCCTCTATTTTTAATTGGATTACTTCATTTGTTGCTTTTAACTTCTTGAGTTCTTTGTTTATTCTGGACATTAGCCCTCTGTCAGATATAGGATTGGTGAAGATCCTTTCCCAGTCTGTAGGCTGTTGTTTTGTTCTGCTGACAGTGTCCTTTGCTTTACAGAAGCTTTTCAGTTTCATGAGGTCCCATTTATTGATTGTTGATCTTAGAGCCTGTGCTGTTGGTCTTCTGTTCAGGAAGTTGTCTCCCGTGCCAATGAATTCATGGCTTTTTCCCACTTTTTCTTCTAAGCGGTTTAGTGTGTCTGGTTTTGTATTAAGGTCTTTGATCCACTTGG